AGACATGGACCAACACTCCATAGAAACGGAATTCTTTTTTGTACAAGATCACCTAACACATGATTGGGAACAGTTGCTTTTAATTACAGATTTAATTTTTTTCTTTGTTAAAGTTTTATGTAATTTAACCCTTTGAAGACGGGAAGTAGTTGGATGAAATGCACACTTGATTATTAGAGAAACTGATAACAGGGCGTACTTGTTCCCCATTAACTTTTGCCTTCTGAAGTACATTGTTTAAAACTAGGGAAGAAGGGTATGTGTATATTGTAAACTATGGATGTTCAATGCTCAAGAGAGGTTAAGTCAGTGGAGTGACCTGTTTATCACCAGTACCGCTGGACCACTATACTAATAAAATGTTTGCCAAATCCTTGTAATAACATCTTAATTTTAGACAATCATGTCACTGTTTTTTAATGTTTAATTTTTTGTGTGTGTTGCGTGTATCATGTATTTATTTGTTGGCAAACCATTGTTTGTTGATTAAAATAGCACTGTTCCGGTCAGCCACTACTCTCTGACGTCTGAGGCACACCCCTTTCTGAATTGCAAGGACCAAGGTGACTCGACCTGTGTGTGGGAGTGCCAGATGTGTTTGGCTTTTCTTAACATTCCTTTTTTTGTTGGTGTTGTTTTGTTTTCCTTCTTAATGAGCTAAATACGAATAGATGCGACTTAGTTTTTGTAATACTGAAATCGATTCAATTGTATAAACGATTATAATTTCTTTCACGAAAGCATGATTCTTCTGATTAAAGACTGTACCCCATATTTTATGCTGGTCGTCTGCAAGCTTGTGCGATGTTATGTTCATGTTAATCCTATTTGTAAAATGAAGTGTTCCAGACCTTATGTTAAAAGAGAGAAGTAAATAACAGACTGTATTCAGTTATTTTGCCCTTTCTTGAAGAACCAGATTTGTTTTCTTTTTGTTTGTAATCTCCTTTTGAAATAATCGGCAAGTTGAGGTACTTTCTTCAAATGCTTTGTACAATATAAACTGTTACGCCTTTCAGTGCATTACTATGGGAGGAGCAACTAAAAAATAAAGACTTACAAAAATGGTTATTTTTTTCCCTGTGTCGTATTTTTCCCTTCTCATGCAAATTTTAGTTTCCCTTCGGGATCCAATGATGTAAAGATATGATGTCTGGGGTCTTGATGCCATAAAAGAGACATGCAACACTGAACATATTTGTGTTGTTTTGAGATGACATAGGGATAGCCCTTGGCCGATAGGGAGTTGGGGTATGTCTCGCTCACTGTTCTGAACTTTCTCTGTGTGGTGTAAAGTCAGAGTTCATGTGCAACCCTACACAGTCCTGCTATCACTCCATGTCTCATTTTAGTTAGGACAGAGAGCAACCTACAGATTTTCTATTCAGTTTTTCATAGCACATGCCAAAATATGTTCTGTTTTTAATGTTTGTTTTTAATTACATAAGTACTGTTAACTGACTTACAGGAGGGAAAAAACAAACCTTTAACTTTTCTGTGTTCCTTTGGTCTTTGTCCACGTGCAAAATATCATTTTTTTAATAGTTATAACTAGAATATAGACATGATTTGGGGCTTGCTTTACTTGTGGCAAATAAATAAATAAAAGTAGATGTATATTGCTATAAATTCTTCCAAAGAATCATTTAATGGTGTCCCATATTTCATCAGGTTTGATCTACTATAATTTCAGTTATTTATTTTGTTAAAATTTTAAGTTTTCTGCTCTTCACTAGTGTAAGTGATGGTATTTTAATTTTCATATGTGTGATTGTTTCTGTGTGTCCATTTATGTACATACAGGATTGGCCTGAGAGGAGTGGTATTTCCATATGATCAATTCTTTGGTGGGGGAGCAATTATGAATATTTGCTCCTTAAATATAATGCCAGTTGTTTTAAATATACGGCCATTCCAATTTTGGCTGACTCTAGAGGTTTTAACAAGGTTTGAAAAATAGATATGATACATGGAAATAGATCCAGACTAATTTCTTCATTTATTCATTCATTCTTAGCTACAATGCTGGCTATACAGAGAGTCTCCTCACATCCTTTCTGAATGCCAGTATTATAGGAATTAAATATACAGAGTATAAATATTGATTTTCTATAGTAGAAAGTGTGCATAAGAAGTATTCAGGAAATATACTGAAGCTATAAATCTGGCTTATAAAGAAGAAGAAATATCTAGTTTTTGGAATATAAGAACACATTTGAGAACTTGAAATCTAGAATGTGCTGTGTATTTTTCTTTGTTTTAAGAATATACCTATATATTCTGTAGTAATGAAAATCTTCCCAACATTACTGAATTCTTGTTAGACTCTGAGCATGATATTTCATATGTTTGCTAACACTTGGTCTCTCCAATTTAAAAAAAGGCTTTCAAGCCTTACATTTCTGATTTTTTTTTTTCCATTCGTATCACCAGCAATCCTACACCACACAGCCCTGTGGGGAGGGGAGGGACAGGAGAGACAATATTGTCTTTGGAAATGAAGGCCTGAGTTTGAGCTCTGGCTCTCCTGCTCTATGGCTTTGAGGTCACGGGCAAGCCACATACCTTTCAAAATCTCATCTGTGAAACCAGGGTAATCATATTTGATTTCGCTGTTACTGCGTTGTGTTTCTGTGAATATTGAAAAACAAAATATGTTTCTGGATATTTGGTAAAATGTCTGTACATTTTACAATGTTCATCATAAAAATTAAGGAAATACAAATGTATATACACGTACACATATATTCACAAACACTATGCTAAGAAGAAGATTTTTAGAGTATAGTAGAAATCTATTCTAGACTACAAAAGTGGATATGGACATTTTCTGGAAAAAATCTTAAGGATGTTTCTTGAACAAATATGTAGCTTTGAGAAATAAAGCTCAGTCCTTTGAAAATATGAGACACCCAGTATAACTGTTGAGAGCTCTCAAAAAATTCAGGGACAGTTAAGAAAACACATTCAAAGAGTAGGAACATTCATAACTTTTATTTTCAGATATTGGCTCTCAACCAATCTTATTTCTGTACAGAATAAATAAAATGAGCTGTCCATTTTTAAACTTCTGTTATATCAGTGTCATGCTGGGAATGTGTACAGCCTTTACCTCAGTTAGTTCATCACAATAGGCCTGCAAGCAGCATTATTCTTGTTTCACAGGTGAGGAAACTGGAGCTCAGAGAGCTTAAGAACCTGCCTCACAGTTAACCAGAGAGGAGCTGCTTAACTGAGAATCCAAGGGAGTCTGGTCCTTGGCCCACACTTAGCCAAGAGTTTCAGACCTCCTGATTCAAGCACAGTTAATGAAAGTCCAAAAAGGAATGTTCCAAACCAAGGAAATGTGCCCACTGAGAGTAAGGCTGTCAGAGATGCAAATGTGCCCAGGAGACATTTAGGCATCTGAGTCTTGGCTATGAAGAGTTTGAAAGCTCAAGTCAGAACTAGCAACACTAATACATTTGACAAATCCACTTCCTTAAGAAGAGATGAGCCTTACTCGTGTTTGCAAATTCCTAGTAGGTGGCCTGAGTTTCCTCCTTACCCATTTTGAGAGAAATGGTTTACTCCAAACCTACATTTTGAAATTATTAACATGGCATGAGTTAAGCCTTTTCTAAAATATGGTTAGCAGACTCAGAGAAAGCAAACGTGAAGTCAAGTTAGGAAATGTACTTACTTCATTCTCTTCAGGTTTAAAGAGTTGTTAATGGAAGGAACATGGGGAGAAGTGGGAAGAGCAGAAGGAAAAATCAAACGCATTGGGTCTAGGAGCCCTGAAGAGAATTTAGAGACCCAGCCAGCAGCCAAAAGACAGAGGTTGCTATTTAATTG